TATATATATATATATATATATATATTATTATTATGTATTTGTTATGAAACTAAACTTGCATACATTTTGTCAATACAGTTTATATCTCTCTCGTGAGTTCTTTCAGTCGTAAGACTGGTAGGCAGCACTTTGAAAATGTGGTCTCCATCTCTCCCGATTGGTTGTCATTTCTCTGAGCTCCCGATAGCTACTTGTTCCAGTATCCTTCATCATTTGCTTGATGTAATCTTGTCTCGGTCTACCTCTGGGCCTGGTTCCACCTATCCCACCCTCCATGAGTGTTCTCATCCATTGGCTATTCCTCATGTTATGGCCAAACCATTTTCCTCTTCTACTAGATCCAGTACTTTCTGATTGGTTTTTCTTTCTGTCCATCTAATCTTTTGGAATCTTCTCCAGCACCATGTTTCAAACTCCTCTAATCTTTGTTCATCTCTTTTTGTTAGTGTCCATGTTTCTGCTGCATAAAGTGCTATACTCCATACATAGATTTTCAATATGCGTTTTCTTAGTTTTTTAAAAAACAGTTTATATAATGTGTAGTAAATATTATTATGTAATCTGTACTTAAAGAATTATATTTTGTTTTATTATTATATTTGTATTTATTAAATTGAATATCTTATTTTTGAAATGTCTTGAATCTCAAATAAATTGTTATTAAGTAAGGTTTTAAATCGGAATAATTAGATATATGTTTTTTAAATTAAACGTTTAAAATAAATTTTGTGAGACCTCTTCCGAGTAACAAGGGGCACACTGATTATACTTGCTCCAGGGCTGAATATGTAGCTACGACACTGTCCTTATATACAATGTATTAGAGAAATGAATTATTTCTTATTCACAAATGACTTTAGAATTAATTAAAATTTCAGAATTTCATTTTCAGAGAAATAATTTTGAAATTTTTAAATTTTGTTTCATTTTTCAAACTGTTTATCTGAAGATAGAATAATAATATCAAAGTACATATGAATTAATTCTATAACTTTGTATATTTTTACTAGGAATTGAATTTAAAAAGTAATTAACATGCAGATGTATAAAACAGAGTGTAAATATTGTTAAAACATTTATTAATTATCAGGAGTAAGGCTTATTTTTTGTTATATTACATTATTTTATAAAAGTATAAAAAATATGTTTTTTGTTTTGAAAAATATATATAAACAACAGTGGCGTGCCGTGACATTTGATGATAGAGAAGCTGTGTTTCTGTAAGAAGCCGACATCCAGGGGCAATCAGTCAATTGCCTGTCAGTGATGGTCTAGGGTCCATTCGTATCATTTATTCGATAAGCCAGTAAAAACCACAGGCTTTTCTAAATGTATTTTTAATATCACAATTACATTCCGAATCGCTAGCCACAATATAAGGGCTACAATTAAAAATAAAATAATAAAAACTTGGTGAAATAAAATGTGTGGTGGACATACAGGTACATACCTGGTATAAAATATTCTTCAATTGTATGAATATACTTTTAAAGAAAATTATAATTAAATATAGCTTTGTAAAGAAACGTACATAAAAATATAAAATATTCTTTACTTTTTAAATCTTAAAACAATGCACTTAGTCAAATAGCTCCCTACCAGTGACTAATGGATGGAATCAAAGACGGTTGCAGAGCGTGCATACACGCGGAGTGTTAAATCCCCAGGGTGCCGATACCGGTCAATGTAAAATACCTCTTTTGTCGCATCACTAGTATATGTCAAAGCACGCGATAGGACTGTTGTAGATTTTGAACGTTTCTCACCATAGCTGTAAAAATCTAAATATGTTAAACTTGATAGTCATTTGTTTTCTAACTAATTCATTTTAGGACCAAGTGTCCTCAGAAATTTCCAAAATTTACAACTTTTCGGTCACTCTCATTGAACTGGAAAATTTTCTGTCTTTATTATATTAATAATACGAAGAAATCAGTCTCCACTGTACTTGCCTAGAGATGGTTCGGTTAAGCTTTTGTTTAAGTAAAATTTCGGCTCTTACGTCAGGGTTTTGTTTACGTCCCCAATTCCCTAATCGCTTAATTATTTAACTATTTCTTAAGTAGAAATAAGTCAAAACCGGTTACTTTGTACTTGTATATCTGCAGTCTCGGGGAAAAAGTGGAAAGACAAATTTTTATGACAATACATAAATCGTAAATTTAAGGAAAATAAATTATAGAGCTTTTTCTGTACCTTGTGTATCTCTCTCATTCATTAAATTTAGTTGTAAATGATGCTACCAAAGTAACAGTTAATTTTTTAACATTATACAAGAATTGTACATGTTTTTTTCTACATACCATCTCTAAGGGCATTGTTAAATATGTTAAACTAGTGATATTACGAGATTGTAATATCACTGGTTTAACATTGAAATCCATGAGTAATATAAAATCAGTAAGCGGAATAAAAATATTAAATATTTTAATGGATTTTTTTAAACTCCCGTCAACTATACAGAACTGTCATAAAAACATACCAGTCTTATTGGTTGGGTTAAGTTATAAATCTACTCGTGATTCATGTAATTGGGCGAGGGCGGCCAAATATCTAGCGGGCAGGCGGCTAACAGCCCAGAACCAGTCCTGGATAGAATTGGATGCGGAATATGTGTAGCATCCACCCGAGGTCCTAGGCTTCCACCGGCTAAACTGGGTGAGGTTGATGCTCTGTAAAGTGCATGCGCGAATCTGTTTTTTTGGATGCGGACGATACAGAGCTTCCACTCTGCCACTAATATTAGAATATACAATAGCAATCTTATCTTTTTTTCACGTGTAGTATAGAAATTTGTAATAAGATACATAATGCGGTTATAATAGAGAGGTTGAGGCACACGTTTTAAACGTGTAAACGTGTACGTGTGACGTTCGGCGCCGCTTTCCCGTAAGCCTAAAAGTTTGACGGTGGTGTTTGGAATGTCGAGCGTGATTCCACCGACTATCCAAACATCATTGTCAAACTTTTAGGCTTACGGGAAAGCGGTGCCGAACGTCACACGTACACGTTTAAAACATGTGCCTCAACCTCTCTAATAAAATATTGTGCGATTATTTTCATATAATTAAAATTAATATGTATTTATTTTTTAGAAAATACAAAAGAAGCGGCACATCCACCGCTTCCAATGATGGCACGCCACTTATAAACATCACAAGAAATAACTGATTTTATTCTGACTAAAAGTGCATTACACTAGAACGTTGATTTTCCGAATCAATTGGGGACTGGGGTTATTCGTATAACTGATATTTCGGATAACCAATTTATGTACGAAAAATTAGTTTAACATATCCCGTGTTGAAATTTTTCTCCGTTGCGTGATGCTCTGCTGTATTTAATTTTTAAAATTACTTGCATTAATACTGTAATTCTGTATTTATGTTTTTATTTTTTATGTTAGTTAATGATAATTTAACTATGGAAAGGATAATTAAAAAAATGTTATAATTGTAATTAAAATTAACATGTTAAATATTTAAAGAATGGAAATTACATTTCTGAATAATTTGTTTTATTTAAGAATTTACTTGTTTGAGATTTTTCAAAAATGATTTCTAAATATGGTGACTAAATTAGTGCTTATAAGGAAGGTAAAATGTTGTACATTGTACATTATAAAATAATTACTAGATTTTGTCATAGTTGATTCCAGAATGAGATCTGTTTAAGACCCGATGAATATTATTTATATAGTTTTTGAGGTAATTGAAATCAATTGATTAGATATTAGATTTTATATTATAGATTTTGAAATTTTTTAATACATTTTAGACTTACAAATTTATGAAATTTATATTTAGTGCACATTCAAGAAAACTTGGAGGATGACTTCATTAAAGAAGCACTTAATTCGGTATTGTATATTTGTTGTTGTCTGAAATTCTGTGTTAATTTTTTGTTTTTTAAAATTACTTATTATTTTTTTTCTAATCTTTTAGGGTATGGATCTACGTCAATATTCAAGACAAATTGAAAAAGAATTACAAGATGTTGAAAATGCTTCCATTAAGGATTGTATCCTTCTTACAGAACATTAATTTTTCATTATGTATTAAAAAATTTGTTGTATAAGCTAATCAATTACATTTATTACTAATAATTTATAAATAAATCATTTTAGAAAAGAAAATGCATATTGTTTTTAGTATATATAACTTATATATTTCTTCAGTATTTATTTTTTAATATACAGTAGAGCTTCGATCATCCGAATCAATTGGGGACTGGGGTTATTCGGAAAATTGATTTTTCGGATAACCGATTATGTTGAAATTCGTTCAAATCCTGGCATGTTTTTAAGTACCCTCTCATGGTAGTGCTAGTGCTGCCAGCTAAAACACACACACCAACAAAAGTAATACTGGAGTAGCCAAAGATTGCAGCACCACAGCACTAGTGGAAATTTAAATTTGCTGACTGGAAAACTTTTGGTTAATAGACGTTTCAGTTGATCGATATTCGGATAATCGTTGCTCTACTCTATATGCCTCAGAACATGTCTTCGTTATTGCCATTGATTATTCAAAGAAAAATCAATGGCAATTAAGCCAACAACTACCGGATTACATTAGACTGTTATATCGCAAATATTTTAAATTAATTTCTAAATAATTTGTCATTAGAGGGAGTCATCAGGTGCCATCTCTTATTACATTTAATAATTATAATTGATTTAAATAATTTAGAAAATTCTGGAAGAAAAGAATTGGCCCAGAGCAGGACTTGAACTTGTAACTGCTGCTTACTGAGTGGATACATTGTCATTGATACTCCATTGACAATTCTTTTCTTCCAGAATTTTCTAAATTATTTAATTTAATTATAATTATTAAATCTAATAAGAGATGGCACCTAACACCTTCCTTTAGTGACAAATTATTTAGAAATTAATTTTAAATATTCACGATATATTAGCCTGTTGTAATTTGGTAGTTGTTGGCTTATCACAATTGCATATTGGATTTGAAGATGATTGTTTATGAATAAATGTTGCATTTTTCATAAGAAAAATAGAGAAATATATTACTGTAATTCTTTAATATGATTATCATTATTAAGAATAAAACTATGTTGATAGAATTATACATTTTATGAATGATTCTTAACTTTACTTTTTAAAGATATAACTGAAAGTCAAAATATAGCTAGTTTACATAACCAAATTCATGCATGTGATGAAATTTTAGAAGTAAGTTATTTGTAATTATTGTGTGTACAAGTTAATTTTATTTGAAACTTAATAATATCATTTATCATTTTGTCCTATTATTATTTTCAGAGAATGGAACAAATGTTGAGATCTTTTCAAAATGATCTTGGTAGTATAAGCCAAGAAATACTTACACTCCAACAACAATCTGTCACCATGAATATACGTTTGAAGAATCGACAGGTAATTATCTTTATTAAGAAACAAAAAGCCAAATAGTCTTATAAAAATATTTATTATTTAATATTATATTTCTGATAATGTCATTTTGCATGTCTTTTTACAATGAATATATCTGATTTTATGATTTAAATTCCATTATTATTACCATAAATAGATTAATTTATTTGCCAAAATATAGGATAATTATTAATCTTTATAAAAATCTATTTAATTGATAACAAAATTATTCTTTCAAAGAATTAAGAAGAAAAAAGTTTTCATGGAAAATTATTTAATTTATAACACAAAACATATCCAAATCTGGAGATATTATATGTTTTAAAATATCATTTAGTTGAAATATGTATTATTACTTTATTCCAATAGAATGATGCCCAAAATGAAATGATTCCTTTGTACCTTTGTACTTTGTTGAACAAAACTTGATACCATGTTTAAATATAAATTAAACTACAGGTAACCCCCGTATAACACGGCACTTCTATAGCACGGATTCGCTCTAACACGGTTCGAGAATTGGTACCATCCCCCGTATAACACGGTACTTTTATAGCACGGATTCACTCTGACACGGTTCGAGAATTGGGTAAAACCCTCGTACAACAGGAAATGTAATAAATTTTTACATACTTAAGTAATAATAGTTCACGAAAATTATTATTTTCGTGAACTATTAGTACTTAAGTATGTAAATTTTCTCTTCTCGCCTTCTGTCGATACACGTGGTCCTTCTCGAAACTTGTTTCAATGTTGCCAGATCGCGACGCTTCTGCTTCTGATGTTGCCGAATGTTTTTCCCTTATTCCATACTTGCTTTATTCTTCATAAGTGCTTAGCACCATATAAGGAAATTTATAAAGACCTTTTAACTAGAAGCAAGCAATCTAAAATTACATACATTTTGCAAAAGGTAAAGCATGGATCTGAAGATAATGCAGAAAAATGCTCAGAGGATAAGGATAACTTGCCAAAAAGAAAACGCTCTCGGTTAATTAATAGTGTTTTTAGTGATGACGAAGAAAACATTGTTTAATTTATATTAATATGTATCACTTAAAAAAATTTTAATGAAGATATTTATCTTAATTATGAAAATATACTAGCATGTTTTTTAATTTTTGGAACCTAACCCTCCTTTTCGTATTAGTTCTTTGTTTCGTATAACACGGATTCGCATAACACGGCAATTTTTTGGAACGTAACTACCGTGTTATACGGGGGTTACCTGTATATGCTTATTATTAAGGAAATTGATAAATACTTTAGGCCAGGGGTTTCCAACTTGTGTTCCACAGAATCCTAGGGTTCTGCCAATAAAATTTGAGGTGTCACAATAAAATCTGTTGAGTCTAGTGATGTATGAATGTGTCAATGCAGATTTGGGATGAAGTGTAATTGTTCTAGTCTCTGATTGAGTCCTCTTATGACGTCCTCTACATGTGATAGAGTTATTTATAGCCTTATAAACAGATGGAACTGATTTATCAGTAATGAATTGAACTGAAATCATGATATAATGTTTGAGAAGATAATGAAAATTGTAAAAACAGTAAAACAACCTAAAGCTAGAAAATCATAAAAAATAACCGTAAAAAGTATCCAGCATATAAATAGTAATACAATCGTTGATATGCCTTAATTCATTGATATCTGCAGCACAAGCCTATTGAATCTAATGACAGGAGTTGCCAGTCTGATGTCCAATGGTACTATACATACTAGTACGATACTAGTGATGGACACTCATGCCAAACAAGCATACACAGGTTTAATTAATGTCCCATCATCTGTGGTATGTCATAGTGCAGTGTAAAAATGGATATATCAGTCAAAGATTATTAGAGCACAAAATATAAATTTTGTGCTCTAATAATCTTTGATATTTTAAGTATTTTTCATATAAAAATAGAGTGGGAATCAAAAAAATTTATAGTGCTTTTAATATTGTGTATATCCCAAATTGAAAAATCATGGAGTGTTGGCTGAGAGAAGAATTTTGAAAAAAAAAATATTTAGCAAGTACTCAAGTGTTTCTGCTAACAAGAAGACTGAAAAGGTAGATACAAACAAAGGAAACATACTAACCATTTTTAAAACATTTTTAAACCATAGAAAGAAATGAATAGATTTCATCTTACGAATTATTAACATTATTAATATGAATAAACATTCCTGCAGGAAAGTGTCAGTACAATTTCTTGTTATCTGACCATTAGACAAGGAACCCCAAGTATTTTTCATGAGTGTTTATCCTGGAGTGGTCATCCTCTGTTTCATAACTAGCTTTTCATGTTCCTTGTTTAAGATTATATTTTTGGTTTCCTTTCTTTCATGTATAAACAGAATAGTATGTTTATTTGACTTTTTTAAAAAAAAAATAAAAAACAAATACAATAGAAACAGTTAATTAATTTTTAACTTTAACTAAAACTGTTATGAAATAGGCTGCAGTGGTGACAGAATTTGAAAATTTAAATATAATTCTGTTCGTGTTTTGATACCGCATTTTAGGGCTCCATTTCGTCTTTGGCCCTGTGCATATCTGCCTAGGTGATGAGGGATGGGTAATTCCATAATTAGCATTATTCATATCTCAACAACTGGCCATCTCTATTGTGGGTATAATTAAAAAGTTAATTCTAGAAAGAGTCATAAATAAAAAGTCATTAATTAGCATGACAATTATTAAGGAAATATCTGTTATCTATTAATTTAATGTATACATTTTATTGTTTGATTAAAAATTAATAAAACAAGTCAGATAATTCTATTATTGAAAGTAGACAAATATTGAATGACATTACATGACGAAGAGGACTATTTATTAATAAATAAAACAATGTACAGAATTATTTTCTCTTTAGAGAACAAAGTACAAATTTAAAAGAACAAAAGCTTAGATTTGTATTAGTTATTTGCACCTCGTTTCTATATAATCAAAGGTTTAAATTAATGATTCCTTATAAAACATAATATTAACAAATTGACAAAAGTATAAATGGAGATATAATAATATTTTATGAACTGATTTTGCTAATCACTCTTGTCTTATTTCACTACTTTCATTTATTACCAGAGAGCATAAGACATTGAATAAAATGACTATTGAATAAAAAAAGATAAACTCAATATTTTAATGTTTTATTATTATATAGTTTTGTTATATCAATACATTACTTGAATGCCACCGTATTAAAAAGTTATTTAAAATTATTTATTGTAGGCAGTACGAGGTGAGCTCAGTCAATTTGTGGATGAAATGATTGTACCTGATATTATGATCAAGTAAGTATGATCAAAAATAATATATTTTATTATGTATAAAATCAAATCCAATATACATTAATAACAGAACAGTAAAGCTGGATTCATAGCAGGCTATAAAATGGCAAATTAATTATTAGTATACTAAGTAATTTGAATTAGTGATAGATAATTAAGCCACCAACTTGTGTTAAATTTAATCATTAGAAATAAATAAATTAATTTAGAAAATCTGAAAAACAAAGATTTATTTATATTGACTAGGACTTAAACTCATAATTCCTGCTTACTGTGCAGATGTGTTATCAGTTTTGCTAACCAGACTTCTTAGTTTTGCTCCCAAGCTAATTAATTTAGAAGATATAACCATATTGGTCAAATCTGTGTCAACTGGAGATGATTACATGCCTTCAGCCTTCCATGGCCAGGATGTCACATGCTTATATTGGGTCTGGAATAGAGCTGCCCCTTTTGTCATTTTTTTTAAACAAATGAAATATTTAGAATGTTTCTTTATTAACAGAATGCAGCACCCATTTTATTTTTTGTTAGTAAAAATAACATTATAGTTTTCTTTAAAACTCTTTCCATCTTGTGGGTACTAAGAGGCCTACAGGATGGATTTGTTTTTTTTTTTTTAAAAGTCCATTCTAGGTTTGGCTAGGCCCACGGTGAGGCATCCAGATGATTAAGGATGCTGACAGACATATCTGGATAGACCTTACAGTTTTTCAATCTGCCTGAATTCAGTTCCAGACCCCCAGTAGGTTGCCACTGGTTATAATTTTTAGTAGTAGTTCAGGCATCCAGTTTTTTGAGGGTCCAGGAAAAATAAAAATGTAGTTTTTTCCCCTTTTGACAGCCCTGTCCATTGCACTCAGTCAACTCAAACTTTTACTCCAGTATGATATATATATATATAATTACATGTAAAACAAATTTGATATATTTTAATTGAATGATACAGCCAAATTCTTATTTGTCTATAATTAATTAGTTTGGAAGCAAAGATCAGAAGGAGATTTGAGTAGCATAACTGATAATGATGCATCTACACAGTAGGCAGAAGTTGTGAGTTAAAGTACCATTCCAGATCAATATTTTTTTCCAGAATTAATTGATTTATTTTTAATAATTAAAGAACTCTGCACAAATCTTATGAGAATTAGGTTCCAGAGGATTTGGCCGAATCTTTGATACTTTGTTATTCTAGTGGTCCCGATAAAAAGTCTCTATAGGAACAAAGTAAAAAAATGGACATTTTTGAGTTGAGAATTCATGAAGCAGAAACAGTAATTCACCTGTGTGTTGTGAAGCCTGAAATCTTTTCTGTTTCAAAGTATAGAGTGATATGTCTACAGAGTTCCTTTTCAACTACTATAAAGGCTCAGCAGACTGATTCTCTGAGAAGAAAGCTGTTCATACACCACATAGAGGAGCACACTGTATAGTGTGGTATAATTTATGGCTTGACATATGCAAAAATTATGCTTTTTTTGTACCTTGGCCACTCAATAACTCAAAAGTGTCCATTTTTTGACTTTGAGCCTGTGAAAACTTCAAAATTATCATAATTAGCCATATTACAGTTGATAAGAATCCTGTATTATCATTTGATAGTATACATTATATAAATTTATAATTTTGAATGATCATAGTACTATAATAATTATGAATTGTAATAATTGTATGAGAAATTAATTTGATTAACACTTTTTGTGTGTTAATTAAAAAATTTATTGAATACATTACTGAATAATAATTATATACTGTAATAACTGAATAAATAGTTATAACTTTATATTTGTAAGGAAGTTTGATAAATATATTACCATACTTTTTGTATTATGTTGTTCAAGCATTACAATAAAATTGATGATACAGTTGTGGATTTAGCACTTTAGAGGCCCCAGGCGCAATACAATTTTGAGGCTCCCTCTAAATATTTTCACTACCCCTACACCCTACAGTGTGCATTCTACACACGTTTTTTACTCTGGTAGGCAGTATACTGGTGGTCCAAAAAAAAGTGAGACACAGAAATAACATTGATATTATGTCTTGAATATTATTATTAATTTTCGTTAAAAATAAAATTATTTAATAATATTTGCACCCTTTTTATACTTACTTCATGAAATACAAATCAGTATTAAAACTTAAAAATAAATTATTTTTTATATTCATGTATTACTACATTTTTTTTTTTGTTTTTAACTTTTTTACTTAATGAAACTTAATAATTCTTGTACCTTATTGGAACAAGAATTATTAAGTTTCATTTTCAAGTTTCAGTTTTCATAATTAATACAACCTGAACATCAGCAAACCTTTAAATATAGCCAGGCAGTTATAATTTTATATTGGTTGATTTTCAATGTTATTTCCCTATGTCTCACTTTTTTTGGACCACCGGTATATGGTTTATTTCAAAATAGGGTTATTAAATGTTTTTTTTTTTTATTTTGAGAGCTGAATTTTGAGGCATTCTTGATTTATGAGGTCCCAGGTGTGCACCTGTGCAGAAATTTGCCACTGGATACAACAATATAAAATGAGACAAACACAAGAAAACTAATTCTCAATATTAGCTTTTATTGTATTAAATAAGTATTTTAAAATGTATTAAATTATAAAAGCTAGATTGAACTACAGTAATTTGATAGTCATTAATTAGTTTTTAATGGTTGATAATTTGTGTAATAATATAATTTGATACATTAGTAATACCAAACAATGTATCTGTCAGATTTTTATTGGGTTATATCAAGGGTAATTAATATAGTCTGTTAAAAAATCTGGTGGACTGTTTGATACTCTTATTTCTTCTTTCTGATAACCATAAAGTAATTATTTGCAGAGATTTCAATCTTTTGAACATAACATGGCATGATTTTAACCTTAAAGAAAGTTTCTGGTTACTTAAAGGTTGTATATTTAAGTAACCAGAAATTTCTTTTTCAATAATATTTATATATTCATAATGCATTTTCAAAAAATGATTTATGTTATCAAAGGTATCTTGATTATTTTAATTCAGTCATAGACAAGTTTTCTTTTGATTCACGTATCTTTTGGCAATTTATTTCTAGTTATTTCAGGAAAATCTAAATGTAAGAGAAACTGCTTCTTGATAATAAACTCTCTTTCTTGATAATAAAATACTTACAATACCAGGTAGTCTTATAAACATGAGAGGGTTTGTTTTTGTTTCTCCTAATACAGCACACTTTAGTCTTCATTTAAGAATTTTGAATTTCCCACTAAATCTGATAATCATAATAATGAAGAAACAAATAAATTGTTAAAGTTTGATGGATGTTATCAGAAGAATTTAACATGTTTTTGATCCTGATTTAAATCAGTGTTTTCCAAACTTTTTAGACTATCATCTGCTTTTAGTGCATACATTTCTTGTTTCTTTCAGAAGAAATTTTTGTCACTCGTGTCTTCTAACACACTATTGCCCCTTTGCATTCCAGCATCCGCTTGAGTCTTTTACCATCCTCGAGGAGCAGTAGCATCCACTTTGGGAATCACTGATTTAAATCAAGGTCGAAAACATTCCTAATTAAAAACTTTTGGTAATCTCAACTTTAGCAGTTTGATTTATTATTATAGTATTATTATAATGGTGCCAAGTTTCATAAACTTTAATATAATATTCAATTTACATTTCATAAAATTGCTACTGTTATGAAGAAAATGCCAGTTTCATATCATAAACCAGACAGGATACCATTAACTTTTGTAAAAAAATTGGGAAGATGTTTGAGATAATTTTAAGAGTGTTTAAAGAAATAAAAGATAATATGAGAGAAGAAATAATTCTATTAATAAATACAGAAAAGAATAAAGTATATAAAAATACTTTATTCTTTTCTGTATTTATTAATAGAATTATTTCTTCTTTCCAATCTTTATTAATTTTTCCTGGTGATTTAAAACCAATACATTCTGATGCTAAATATATTACAAAAATAACTTCATTATTATTTCTTTAGGGATGTTAAATCTTCAAGTTAATAAAAAAAATAGTTTGTTATTCCTTACTGAAAAATCTCTGTTGATCCCCTTTTTTTTCTAAACAGTCAATTCCATACTTGGATATTATTTGCAATTTTGGCAAAACATTTGATAAGAAGCCCACCTTCAATAATTATATTAAAAATGTTACTAAATTGCTAGTAATATATAGAAGTATGTTGTGAAGACATTGCAAAATTAATGTTGATTATACTTTTCCAATTTAGACTACAGGGCTGAAATCTACTCTCAAGAAGCTAGTATTTGAATTGTATAAATCCTATTTATTGCTAAATATATTATCAAATCTTTCCTTTACCGATTCTCCAATAAATGTTAGTTGTATGTCAAATTTTACAAAAAATTATTTTCAACTATTTTACTATAAACATTATAATGGTTTTTCAAATCTATTTTTACTTCCTGTTGTTATATATAACAAAGGGGAAATATGGCAATTGGTAAAAAATCACTCCCAAGATATTTACATTTTTCGATTCAGGACACTTTGAAAGGTAGAGAAATGCAAAAAAATTCTGGGGTTTTTTCTTTATGTTTGGGTGTATGGGGGTGGAGCATGATTTTGTTTATCCTCTTTGAAGTTTAATATCTCCTGTTTTTTTTGTCGAAAATTTCTGAAATTTTGCAGAAAGATTTGTGTATTAGGGGTATTGATGCTATTAAATTTTGACGATTATAGGTCAAGGGGATGGGGAGATGAAGGGGGTCGTTAAAACTCTCCAGCCGTCATTGGCAAATCCGTCTTTGAATACAATAATAGTTAAAGATAGATCTAAAGTAGCAATGCAAATCAGTGCCTGGTTGCAGTGTATCAGAAAAAACAACGAAATGTTTCAGACATTCCGTAATGTTCACAAGCCAGAAGAAGTGTTCCAATACTATAGTAAAGAATCTGAATGTCTCTGTCACGTGACTATGAGCCTGCTGTGTAAAAGATATTTTTATAATTTTTTCCCAGTCTAGCATCATTACAATGCTAAATACACAAAACACAGAGGAGAGAAAGGTATCGAAATTCAGTATGTAATCTGGTTGATTTATGCCAATGTCTTTCAGACAGATGTAACCAGGAGGACAATGCCTAGATCCTGTTATTTTTCCACAACTGATAGAATGTCCCTCGTCGTCCGACAACCAATACGATTTGTTCTGAATATTAGAAAAAGCTAATGGAATGTTGTCGGAAACGTAGTTTTGTAAAAGGACCTCCAAAAACAACTCTTTTGCCACAAGACTGGAATGTACTACGAAAAGGATTATAAGCAATGTGATACCAGCCATAGCTATAACGGATCGTAGCATGTACGAAGACCCGATATGATCGAAATTATCTTCAGAATTATAATTGCTTTCAGTGATTGTATTTCATTCAGATATTCATTCTGATAGTTGAGGACGTTTCAACTGAATGGAATAGTTGCCATGCAATTCTTCTAATCCAGTTGGTTGGTCCAAACATACACAGTGATTTCTCTTTGTTGAATCTATAGACATAATCTTTCCAAATTTATGGGAGGCCATGCAGAATGATCCAGTCGTCAAGTGGTCAATGTCTTGAAGCATCCTCAAGAGGAATCGTGGCATCATCTTTCACACTTTGACCATCATTTCCTTCAGTAAATTCTCATTTAGATGTATTCATTTCTTTATTTTTCCAATTATTGGCATAAAAACTGTAGGTTAGCCGTTAAATCAGTAATTCTAATCAATTTTCGAACATTCCAATTGGATTCCTTTAATTAGATTTGCATTCAAAATTTCAAAATACGTTTTAATGCGTTTCGAATTTTTCATCGTATGGAATTTCAAAAATGTTTATATAAAAAAGAATAATTACGTATTAAAAAGTTGTTAAGTATTTATTTAATATAAGCCTTTATATTCAACATTTAAGACGTGGAAGATTAATAAAATTAATAATTTTAAATATATGTTTATTCTGAACTTAATGGAGATTTTACTAGTCAGCATTTATAGATTTTTATAAAACTTATCTCTGCCTTCGAAATTAAACGTTTTTTTTTTCATTTTCTAATTAAAAATAGAAAAAAATTATAACAAAAATCTCATAACAGATGGCGCCACATACAATTTTATTTATTACGATTAATAATATAAAAGTTATTTTTTAAAATAAAATCTCATACAGCCGGGAAAGTTGCGAAACTCGTTGCTGGATTTTTTCTTCTACTTTGAGTATTGAACATATGCATAATTTAAATAATAATTATTATCTGTTTTTTAGACAATGTATTTCGACCACACTTTCATTAGATTTATGATGCTTTAGCTGCCATTCAAGCATATTTACATTTGATTTTAAAAGGTTCTATCAATTACGTAATCATCATTTTCATAATTTTGAAAATAATAACTAATTTAAAATTATTATTGTATTTCTTTTTGCTGGAGGGGTGTATTTTGTTAATGTATTGTACATTATATTTTACCTTTCTGTATATGTATTCTTATTTGTTACCTTTTCATTTCGTATTGTGTGGTTTCGGGGCAGTGGGCAACCATTGGCTCTTTCAGCATTGCCATTTTATCTATTTAAAATAAGATAGAAAAATAACAATTAAGGATAAATCGAATATTGTTTTTTGACTGCATATTATTAAGAATATTACGAAAGAGTGTTATATGTTTCCAGCAAGATATTTTTCAGTATCAGATTATACAATAAAGATAGCATTGTCTTATTTTTGTATACACAAGAAACATGCAAGATCATTCACATGTATTTATGTACAAAAGTATAATTACAGTATATTTGTCAGTTCTGTTTTGATATATCCTTTGTCCTAGATCCTGTGCTTGTGCACCTGCCTATTTACTGCACGGATAAGTGAATTAAATTTCCTAACGAAATGAAAATGGTCATTTTTTATATACTATTTGCTTTAGACTCTAGCTCAAATTTTTGATGTGACAAATATCTATTCTTATAGTAGGCATACAATGAGCTTGAAAAGAGAGGTCCTTTTGTGTGTTCACACGGTGGAAAGATGTAAAAGATAAAACAGAAATTCTAAAATGTACAATTTTTTCCTTTTCAGTTGTACTCAAAAATAAATATTTGAATTTCTAAACTATTTTATGATTGTGATGAAACTTAAGTTTATATAAATCTTGTACATTTGCTTAATAGTTTCTTAATATATATATATATATATATATATATATATTTTTATCCCAGTCATATTTTAGAAACACCGGTAACAGAAAAAGGATTCTTGGAGCAGCTGTTTATACTGGATCACAAAATATCATTCGTCAAGGAACAAGGTTTTAAAGATGCTCGCTCCTGTCAAGACGTAAAAGACATTTTAGAAAAATTAAAATTCAAGGTTTACACATTTTATTACGAATAAATTTATATCAGTTTAGAAGTCGAGTGTCTAAATATCAATATATTTTATTTAGGCCATCGTTAAGATTAGAGAATATCTCCTGCAGAAAATCTATGCGTTTCGTAAACCCATGACGAATTATCAAGTGCCGCAGAATGCGATGCTCAAACACAAATTTTATTATCAGTTTTTAATGACCCACGAGAGGGAAATAGCCAGAGAAATCCGAGACGAGTATATCGATACTATGATGAAAATATATTATTCCTATTTTAAGAGTTATTCTAGTCGACTGATGAAATTGCAGGTTTGTATTCTACCGTAAGAGTTTGACATTTTATTAATTAAAGTAAAATTATTAAATAACTTAATTTAGTTTGAAGAGATGGCCGATAAGGATGACCTTATGGGTGTAGAAGATACTGCCAAACGAGATATCCTTTAAAAATATTTAAAAAAGAACTTTTTTTAATCCTTTATTTGTAGTATTTTCTTGACATTAGCAAGTATTTTTAGCTCAAAACCTTCCCTGAAGAACCGATCGACAATATTCACGCTGGGAAACAGAGGAAGCGTCCTAACCACCGATTTAGAAAGTCCAATTATTGTACCGCATGCTGCACAAAAAAACGAAACCAAAGTAAATTTCTCTATTTTATTTTCTTATCAAACTATCATTAAATTGGGGAGTATTATTTAAATGGTGAAAACGAAAATTGCTTTCAGTACACATTCGAGAGCTTATTTCGCAGCCAACACTTTGCCTTAGTCGACAATTCCTCTAGGGAATATCTCTTCCTCTCCGAATTCTTCATGGCCGCAAATACGGCGGCGCAGGATTTATTTAATTCCGTCATGGGTAGAACACTTACCACATTTTTGGTAAGTTCTTATTTTTAAACAGATATTTATTTTTAATAGTTATAGTAATTTAAAACTTCTCACAGAAACAAATTGATGTTTACGTACAAGACTGTTATGATTCCATTGCAATATTTTTATGCATACACCTCATTCATCGTTACCAACTATTGATGCACAAAAGAGCAGTCCCCGCTCTCGATAAGTAAGTAAAAAAATATATATGTATTAAAATTACTTATATTTTTACAAGTTAAACGTGTAATTTTATAGATATTGGGAAGCCCTGCTTCAATTATTATGGCCACGATTTGAATACATTCTTCAATTGAATATACAGAGCATAAGAGATTGCGATCCTCAGAAATTAGGTTCTATAGACATGAGACCTCACTACGTAAGTGTTTTTTTTTAACTGCATAAAAGTTTATTTTTTTAGCGTAAAAATTCGAAATCTCGTATTACAGATTACCAGAAGATACGCAGAATTTTCTGCGGCCATCGTGGGCATCAACGAGAGTTACCCAAGCGAATGCGTGGCCCGACTACTCGCGGCTCTTCAAGGAGAGGTAGAAAATTTTATACTCAGGATGGCCGCGGAATTTCCCGAGCGTAAAGAACAATTGATATTCCTGATTAATAATTACGACATGATGCTAAGCGTACTCCTGGTGAGTCTTATTATTTAATAGGGCGTGTTTATGATGTAAGGTTTCGAGATTTACGTTATCTTTAGGAAAGAACAAAAGACGATTCTAAGGAATCCGAAAGTTTTAAAGAATTATTAAATGCCAGAACTCAGGAATACGTGGAAGAGGTTCTATCGCCTCATTTCGGCGGAATGATATCATTTGTAAAAGAATGCGAAAAATATCTAGAAAGAGGCAACGTCGACATTTTGAAAAAAGAAGAGAGTAAGTAATTTACCAGAAACATATAACGCTTCGGTGATCCGTTAATCTCATTTTACATGCATTTTTTCAGAAAAGGTCGCCTCTCTCATCCGATCTTTCAATTCTGGATGGAAGAAGGCCATTGATGATATAAATCAAGATATTATGCGATCTTTTACAAATTTTAAGAATGGCACTAATATACTTCAGGTCGGTATTCTTTATAATTAATTTAACTGTTCTATTTTAAATGCCTTAGTTTTTTAATATTGAGAAGTTATATTTACATTCAATTGGTGCAGGACTGCTACATTGCAATGTCAGATTATCTTGCATGTTATGTTCTAAGTATACATAACACAGTATATTACAAGTTGAAGTTTTCTAGTCTGCTTATCCCTTTGGAGAGTGTGCCCATAGTAAATTGCACAATTTCAATGTTTTTTTTTTTTAAGACGTGGTGCAGAGTGCACTTTGGTATTCTGTATTCATAGCATACGTCACCGTCTACATATCAAATGATTTTCCTGTTTCCGAGCTTTGAATTAGTGGCAAGTATACCACAGGTACCATATCGCCTGTGTCTTGTGATGTAAATATAATTTGCACTTATTTTTTTAAATGTACTTGAGATTTGCATAGGTATTTAACAATGTCATATAAGGCTAAAAATTTATTGATTCCTATTAGTTTGAAAATATATCAAAATGCTTTTGGTGATGTTTCTCCCTCTTATAGTTTTGACCCGGGTGTTAGATGGTGGTCGGTGGAAAAATTTGGACGTTTGTAATACTTCGTGTAACCGTGAGTTGACCAAAGAAATGCAAACTGCTTGGTTTCCCTATTTTTCTACTCATTGGTTTTAAATTTGAATTAAAACCCCCTCCAAACAGAAACTGACTGTTTGGAGGGGGTTTTTATTCAATGCGAGTGCAATTGTTGTCCTTCGTGGAAGAGCCAAGAATCCATAAACTTATTTCAAACAAGCAGCAGCAACAAACTTTGCGCTAATTTGTTACAATTGAACAAGTGAATTTCATTAAAATAAAATGGAACTTTTTAAACAATCTATAATGATATTAATATAAAACATTTATGATACAATTTTGAATCACAGACCACTGAGTTTAGTGGTCCGTGAGGTCAGAAAGGTTCATGTCAGGAAATTCATAGGAAAGAAGAGCCAGAAGATAGCTGATTAGACAGATGACTCTGACAATTAAGAGGTGTGACTTATTTTTAATTATCTAGATGCTTTAGAACTTATTAAACACTTGCATTTATAAGATTACTTCATATCCTCCAATAGTCAAAACAGGAATTATATTAAATATATGATGAATAGCTGCAACACACCCACCAAAGGATTAATGAGTTTTTATACAAAAAAAACAAAAGATGAGTAAATCCTTTGAAAATTGTTTCAGATTTATTAAGCATTTTCGTATTGTAATTATAGTAAACCCTGAATTTACTGGACTGATTGGGAGAAGGTAGGTGCACACTATTCTGAGTCAGTTAAGTTTATTGAATTACTTAACCTCTTTTAAATCAAATTTATTAATATTCTTAGCATGTATTAAGCTTATATATATACACACACACACACATACATTATATAACCTTTTTATATTTACTGTTAGTTATTTCCTTTAGGGCAGTGGTTCCCAATTAGTTTTTCCTGCGTACCCCTTATAGCAGAAATTCATATTAATCCACACTAATATTATAAATTCGAAGGTAATGCTGTCTGTCTGTCTGTCACCTTTTCACGTCTGAACAGGGGCCATATTCTGGTCACTGTCTCTGGTCTCTCATCTCTCACAAGCCAGTCACTGATTGGCTAATCCAAATGATTAGCCAATCAGAGACCAGAATACGGCCCCAGGTTTTAATAAAATTTGACACAGAGATAGCTTACACATTGGAGATGAACATAGGCTACATTTTACTGAGAGAAAATATCTTACTCACACAAGAAAATTCTATATAATGCGGGCAAAGCCGCAGGTAGACAGCTAGTGATAAATAGAATAAGTTTTTTTTATATTTATTACCTTTAAAATACAATTCTAATAATAATGAAAATAACATAAGGTTATTTAATTTTAATGTGACAAATGTGCACAATTCTTGCAATCCTTATTTTTGGATCAATTTACAGGTCTGCTTAAAGCCTGTAAAATGTTTGTTCTATGATAACCTGAGACACCTTTCATTTAGAAAACATTTGGCAATACAAAAACCAAGTCAACTCTGCTTGTGGATCTATCACATCTGTAGGCCACACTACACTACACTTAAATGTGTTTGTGCAGGATTGTTAGTTGGCAATCCTGTGCACCAAAAAGCTCCGTATCCAGATGTATTCTAGCTGTTGTCAATTTTCTGATCCCATATTTGCATGTTTTGTCTAAGAAACAGCCATCCATCTAATCATTGTCATCTGTGCAATGCAAAAGCAGCTCTGTTCTATGTTGAAAAAATTAACATGTAAATTTGGAAGGGCCTCAACAGATCAATTTGCAAAAAGGTTTAAAGAAAGGGGAACTATGGGCTCAATATATCTAATTTGCTTTTGTGATCTGGTTTTAAAAAAAGCTTTTCTTACAATAATGTTTGTTAGAGGTAAAGCTTTTATTTATTAATATTATATGAAAATATATCTTAAATATAGTTAATTATAAGATATGAAAATAAGCTTTAATGCTTTTTCAACAAATTTACATGTACTTTGAAAAATATTTTTTTTTTTACAGGCAACACTGACCCAACTCATTCAATACTATCATCGATTCCAAAAGGTTTTATCGCAGACGCCGTTTAAAAATCTTCCCATTCGAAGCGAACTTTTGAACATTCATCATCTAATGGTGGAAGTCAAAAAATACAAATCCAGTTTTTAAGATGACGATGATAAATATATGTAAATAAGATTTCTTTGCAGATAATTTGTATTAATTTATTGTGTGGAAAAAAAGCATAAAACTTTTAATATTTGACAATATGCACATTTTTTTAAAAACAGAAAATCATTTATTTAACACAGTTATACAACTTTTTCCCTCCCAATTAATAACACAAATTTCTGTAGTCTAAAAATTGCTATATATAAACAACAATCACCAGAGAAAAAAAAAATTTTTGTTTTTATAAAAACTGCATGTTGATGTAACAAAATTAAACTTACGTGACGTGGTATTTTTTTTTGGTAACTCAAACTGAAAACAAACCGGAAAGATAGACCCTAAGTACCGATAAGTGGCCTTGTGTACTTGATTTTTGCGCAAGATATACCCATGGTTATCACAGTTAATTGTAATTGGAAATTTTAAATATTATCTGCAAACATTTGATGTGGGCGAAGCATACTTTAGACTGATGCTAATTTTGAATATTCTGTTTTATAACAAATGATGTTATTTACGTCTTCCACACTGTGGAATTTACAATACGTACATAATTTTATCGGTTGCTCGACAAAAATCAAGCTTCTGCGGATATATCCCTGAATTGGTGGTACTGGCTGCTGCGAAATCTGCGGTATAAAGGAGGAACGAACAGCGCAGCCAAAATACCGCAAATGAAGGCGATGGGCAATCCCAGCCCCAGTGCAACTGGAGAAACTGTAGAATATGATAATTATTTAGAGTTATTCTTAATTATATTAATTTAAGTATAGTCTTACCTCCCCCTCCTTCGTGCGATGGTGCAGGAGCGGGCGTTGACGGAGGTTCGGGCGGTATGGGCCTGCCCGTACAGTTCAGTTCGTCGGTGTTATCTCCGCACTCGTTGATATTGTTACACACCCAGGCTGCGTGGAGACACATCTTATTCTGGCATGTCATGTTGCAAGCTAAATAATAATAGATTAGTTGAAAGTCAGATAAAATTTTTAATAATAGATCCAAACATATCAAAACTTACTTTGTGAATGAAATTTTACCACCAAGTTGTCGGTTGGTGGCAAACCAGTTCTGTTGTAAACAAATATTAACTTATTTGTTCTACTTAACATCTCTTTAGAAGAAACCTCTTTGGTCATGTCTCTTACAGAACCGCCATCGTAAATCTTCAAGTGACTAGCAAATTAAGAAACGACTTATATGAATAAATTTAAGTGTTTGTTTAATCTAATCGGGAAAATTACTCACTTATCTTTATTGTCGCTCTTCACGGTGAAATTTATAATATTCGGATGATTAACATCTCCACTTTCTGGAACTTCAAGCTGCCAAATACAATAAGAACTGGTAGTTTTGTTTGGAGTGCTAAAATTTCCGTCCTTAGCGGTTATCGTTCCTCCGCAATCTTAAAATAAGCCAAATTTTCAAATTGTACGAATTAAAAAAACAAGTAGCTAGATAAATTATTTACCTGCAGATGTTACATTCAGAGCAAATCCCTGCGCAGTGTCCAAATTAACATTTTTTGTAGCGTTACATGGTTTGGAAATGAATTCAATGGCTAGATCTGGCTGAAACAGTAAATCGTCGGGAAGTGGTGAACTCACTCCGCTAAACGTTTTCATTGTTGCATTTTTAGCTTTAATGTCTTCCCAAAATGTCAAGCAGTGAGTCGACGAGAGAGACAATCTATCAAACGCAACATGATAGAGCCGTTTACTGCTGTTATTAGAAGTAAAATTAGACCAGCATTCTGCCAGTAGTGGATAGGTGTTGGGGTAATTAGGAGAAGTAATTTGCAACATCTGTCCCGGTGAAAGCTGTTCTATTTTTTTGTCACATCCTAAAATAAAATTACATGCAAATCACTATAAGAAACTGCATTATCGCAAGTCTTTTCGGGAATTAAAAATAATTACCATTTAACTTCTCGTAATTTACATGAAGTAACGAATTGGATGCGTTGCAGTTAACATTTTTGGTGGTCATTACGAATCCCACTTTTGCGGGTAAGTACAATTCCGGAATAGTTTCTTTTGTCCTTATGTCTAGAACTTTAGTGTTATCTTTATCCAAAAGACTGATTGTCAAAATATCTTTTGCATCAAAATTTAATAAATGCATATGTAATGATATAGCTGGAAAAAAAATATATAATTTAGACGTACTAATTTTTAAATATGCTAAAAAATATTTACATGAACACATTAATTACTTTCGTAGTTGTTATCTGGTAAGGTGGTCCACTTGCATTCCTGCTGACAGTTACCGCTAATGACATAATCGTAACTGGGTTGCGATGTCATTCGGTAACAGCCTGTAAAATGTTACTATTAAATTCTCCATACATTCCAAATTTCTTACAAAATTAAATAAAAATAAAATATTTCAAACCCTTAGGGATTCCTTTAAAATTTGCTTTATAAGTTGCAGTGTCGTTAAAATTCTTTGCAATTATCATCATTTTGGAAGTATCTGACACGATCGGGTAATTTGGAATATCTCCTTTTAGAGTAAACAGTAATTTAGACGAGACCGAAAAATCGTTATAAACATAAAGGGGAACCGTCAATGGATTTCCATTTTGACTTTCCAGAACAACGTTTTCATTTTCGTTAACTTCCAACAGATAAATTATGTCTTCTTTACTCTTAGAAAAGTGTAGTTCACCTTTATTCTGGAAATAACCACCCTGATCTAAAAATACACAAAAACATTTAAAAACATTTCGTCTTACAAATATGTACAGTAGTCTATAATAAAACTTTTATATCTGTCCTTACCATGGCTTCTAACTTGTGCATTCACAACAATTTTTCCATTAAATGGAGTAAGTGCTATCCTCAAAAATGTTCCGGTAGACAAAATGTAAGTACCTAATGGACAAAAAGATTACAATGAATTACTTGAATTAAAAATTAATACGCTGTTTTTTTTCTTTGAATTAAATCACTTTGTTCTTTATTTCACCTTCAAGTTTATTATAATCGAGTGATGAAATCTGTCTGATTGGCTGTGCTAATTTACTATTCCCGTCACTGACAAGAATCTGTGCTCCATTTGTCAACGAAAGATTCATAAACTGCAAAGATATAACCGTTTTCTCTTCACTTTCAATAATCCAGTGGATCTCCGAGGGTTGTTCTTGAAATGACGAAACTTCCGACGAATTGTAGACTAAATCCTTAACTGTTTGATTTCCTCTCAAGTTAATAAATTCACTTCCTGTAAAAAAAAAACAATTAATATATTAATTTAGACACACATTCTAATAATTTTTAGTTGTGTTAACTTTTAATGAAAACATTATTGTCACTTAACTGTATGCAATTAATATGTCCCTAATTCCCTAATTAAAAATTATAAGGTCCCTAGAAGTCTTGTTTCAGTATTTAGGTTGAATGAGAAGAATATGTGAGAGTTATACAAGATTATGTATACAAAGTCAGACTCAAGTTAAGACAGGATATGGATGCAGGAAGCATTTGGATAGAAATAGAGTTAATATTGAACCTTGATGTACATGTATGTTTTGTCTTAGTGTTATAAAGCAGATTCAATAAATAAGCTTAGCAGTGCTGTTAAAGAAAATGTAGCATACAAGTCGAGACCAATAATTGTGAAAGAATATAGTAAAACAACCACTGTTACTTGATTTTTGACAGCCAACTTCATTAAATCTACTGAGACCCACTGCAGGATGTATGTACAATGTGGAGAGTTGTGCACGTTGCTACAAAAAGTTTGGATTCAAGTTTATGTGGCTCATTGTATATGCTAGTTTGGCCTTACTTGAACTTTTAAACCTAATTGCAAGCTTTTTGCAATTACACTGCAAAAAGCCAAACCGTTCATACAACCGGCAGTAGATTTCACTAATTTGTAGTTAATAATTTTTAGGTGTCAAAAAATTGAATAACATATTACTGTTTGATTGTAGTGCAGTTTGATATGGTTGACACCATTTTGTAAACTGCATAGTGAACACAAATGTGACCCGGCAGAGAGAAGTAGTGGTACAGGGCTGCATTACTGTATGCTCTGATGGTTATTAGTCTTAATCTTATATGCTATGTTATTTTTCTGTAGCAGTGCTATGTTATTTGTTGAACTGGCCTCAAAGATTAACTGTTATATCGTTCTTCTTTAATGCTACCTCCTAACTAGAACAATAAAGTCTGCAAATAATATGCTTAGTGAAGGTAAGAAAGAACTAAGAGGTGAGACGGAAAAATTAGAGAACTAGGAGAGGAAAAAGGGAGCTTATAAATTGTGATTTTTAGCGACAAGCATAAAGTGGCCGGTTAGTTATTGGAAATAGGGAAATAAAAGGTAGAGAAATTTAAGTATTTAGAATAAATATTAATGAATGGATGGGAATTACAAATACAACTAACAGAATAAACACAAGGTGGCAAAAATAGCAGAAAGCAAGCAATGCTTTTTGATAGAATTGCAATGCTGTATGAATCTGAACACTGGGAAGTGAATCTCAGGTAAAAAAAAAATGCAGTTAGTAGAAATGAGAATGCTCAGGTTTGTTTGTGGAGTTGCCTCAGCTTATAACATTAGAATGAGATATAAAAATCATAAAAAGAATAGTTTAAAGAGACATTAGAGAGAAGATTATGGAAAATAGATGACTTGAGCATTTGGTTGAGGATGAATTGATTAGACAAATTAGGAACTTAAGAAATAAGAGTAGATATAGGATAAAGTAAAGTTAGGAAAGATTTAAAGGAGTTATAGTTAAATGAGGAAATAATTCAAAATAGTACAGACTGAATGGGTAAATATATCAAGACCCAATCTCTCTGTAAGAGGTAAAAGGAATGGATGCTGCTGCTGATAATGCTGTTATCATCATCATCGACAGTGGACACGACAATTGTTATTAAAAAAAAGAAACAAAAATAGAAAGTCTGTTTTGTCAGAAGGAAATTAATGCAGTTCTCTTTAAAATAATTTAAACAGAATTCACTACAACGATCATTTATCCTAATCATTAATTATCCTACACATTTTTTATTAATATCTTCAAAAGTTACTCTTTAGAGTATGTTAATAATGCTCTGAAGAGTAGCTTTTGTTTTCCAAATGTCCAAAAAAACTGTAGATTTAAGAAAATCTTATAGACATAATGATTATTCTATTTATGCAGAGCAAAATAGAAGAAAGACAAGTTTATTAATAAATTTGATGTTATTTTTCATTTTATAATTTATATTTATATATGATGAAAACTAAAAACTGTTTCATATTAAAATATTCACATTTAAAATTATTTGTTTGAACATGAATTATCATAATTTCTCATAATGTAGAAAAGTTCTTACCATTTTGTACATTTTCATATGCAAAAAACAGTTTCTGAGTTTTTGTTTTGTTAACTTCAATTGTCAAAGTTAAATTTGCGTCTGTATCTTTTCCAATAATCTCGGAAACGTTTTCATTGCCTGAAATAAAATTTTAATAATAAAGTAGAAATACATGAATGATTTGAGATTTTTTTTTTATAAACTAAATTTCAATAGAAACTTCTAACAAAAATAATAAACTTTTAATATTTTGCTAAAGATTTTACAACCTTCTTAGTGTATATTCAACTCATTTTATAAAAAAAAGCGGCCGGATGGCCGAGCGGTCAAGGTGGCAGCCCACTGCTCTGGGGGACCCGGGTTTGAATCCGAACGGGTCGAAAAATCCCCAGGAATTTTTCAGGGGGGTGGTCCATTCGGATAAGTCGATCCCCATCCCTCACCACCCGGCAGCCCCATTGTGGGCTTGCAAAAAGAGGCCCTCTTAGTGCCCACAGGGTGGAAAGAGTTAAAAAAAAAAAAAAAAACTCATTTTATAATTGATGATGAGTTGTTGTTGTTAAGGTGATATATTGAACAAAAGGGTATTGATATGTTTTATAAATTAGCTACATATAATTTGAGGGAAAACTTTATTAGGAAAAACTATGTCACAGTGCTAATACAACTCTGCTGTCATTTTTTAATTAGCACAGGAATCAAATTTCCTAAAGAGATAATTATTAGAAACATTAACACACATTACAACAATTCCAATAATCTTAATAGCAAATTTTTACTCTCTCATAATAGAGTTTCACGTATTCTGACGACCGCATTAAAGACACAATAATAGGGTCTTCCAAAAATCCCATTCACTACAATCTCAAACTGAATAAGCAGTACTTATTACACAGTTTAAAACTAACAGCCAGTGTTTCATAATATAAATAAGATATCTAGAATTAAGCCTTCAATAGAGTGACAGTTATGTGAAACATCTAATTTGTTAATACTAAGAGAGCCATCATTTCAGTAATAACTAAATTAAACTATATTATAAACTTCTTATTTTAAATTAAAACAAATATTTATTTCTTACTATATATTATACAATAATTTATATATATTATTTTATATATTACTATATAAAAACAATTATGGTAAAAAATTAAGATTTTAAAGTATGATTCTAGATACATTTTTATGAAATTATACTAAAGGTTTACAATAATTATTATTTATAACACTGCTTTCAAGAGTGAAAAAATGTTGTGTTATTTAAAATCAGTCCCTAAAATGATTTTGCTTACTTTAAAAGTCATATTTCAAAATTAGTAATTTACCTGAATAAGCAGAATCTTGAGAGCCAGAACCACTTATGTAAATTTTCTGATTAGAAAGAGCATTGAGAAACGTAATGCTACGTTTTGAATAATAAGTCTGAGAAGGACTTAATATAAACGAACAATTAGCAGTAGTTCCATATAAAGGAGTAGACATAAATCCAGAATCTTTTTCAATGACATACTTACATTCTGAAAATACATTATTATTATTTATAATTTAACTGTAAAAGTTTGATAAGAAATAATTTTATATCATATGTCTAATATTATAATTATTTTCAAATGTCATATTCAGCTGATACTGGTTCCAAGTGCTATGCCGGACTAAAGTCAAGATGTAGCTACCCAAACAAGTGTTATATTAAGTTTCTGTGTTATTGGTATGCTTCTGAACATACAGAAACTTCCTAACGATGTGACGTGTTCAATATTGCAACTTTTTGTAGTGCCATGGTATATATGTTTCTAGACATTTCTGTGGTGTATGTGATATTAACACCAGTAAAAGAGAGAACAACAGATACAATAAATACCTTATCCATCTTATACATTAATCTAATTTCTTGAGCAAGTGGAGTGTACTTGTTGATTTTTTCAGTATGAGCAATTTTTATGTTATGAGTGTTTGGAATTATTATTATTTTAAAAAACTAAAAAGAAATTTTATTTTAAAACATTTTCAAAATAAAATTTAATCTATGTGTTATTTGATTACAACTATATGCTGTAATATCATGACAAAAAAAAAAATCAATCATTTCCTGATTATAGCTTTTCCTATTTCTTAATTTAAATAAACGTGTACATTTATGTGAAAATTCGAAGTTAATAAAAGCATTTAGTACTTTAAAGGTTTAATAAGTTTAAAATAAAAATGCCCTCAACCAAAGGAATTTGACCCTACAAAAACGAAATATAAAGTACATGAGAGAATTATAACTCTTTTTGTTTAACTATAAACATTCTCACGATCAAACCGTATATAGTTTACAGTTATCGGCGAAATTCGTCATATTGTTGTCATTCTAACACCACCTTTAACCTCACACCTGCTAAAACAATTGATCACCTGACGAATTTTCCCACCAACAAGGTATAAAAGCCATCCTCCTTCCCCCTCTCCGGGGAGTCGCTAATCAAGAAGTCGCCATCGCACCATCAAGATAGAATTTTGCTTCCCTCTAACCGGCCGCACCACATATTAGAAGACCTTCGATTCCAACCTTCAACTTGGATCCCGCTTTTCAGAAATTAAAGACCTTCGATATCATCGCAAGAGGTATGAACGCTTTATTGTAAGCTCTCTCTCTCATACGCGAATGAGACGTATCGTGTTAGAACGTTTGTTTTATTATTTGTCTGTAATAAATTGTTAGTTTAGAAAAATGGTGTCTTTATTCGACTATGCCAACGCCTTATCGTCGGCCCCGTAACTCCCCTCCACTCAACGTTACTACCATCCTTGACAAGAAAGTAGGTCCGAGACCTGTGGCCGGAAAGAGAGGACTCCTCCTCCCTCCCGGTGGCTCACAAATTGGTGTCACAGAAGTGGGGTTTGAATCTAAAAATCCCTAGAAATATCACATTTACATTCATTATATTTTGATTACTATTTATTTTTTTATTCTTTCTTGTTTTATATTGTTTGTCATAAGTTTCAGTTATGAAACTCTTGTTCTTATAAGATTGTAATTGATGAACACCAACGTTACCAATAATGAAGCAATGAACAGATCTGATAAAATTAAATAGAAAAAAAAATTGTATTTTCCAATTAGCTACAGCTACTGTTTTGAGTTCTGTAATATTTATCAACATACCAAATACTGATGATATCATTGTAAGCAATACCATATACAACAACAAAAATATAAATTTAAACTGAATCTGTTATAGCATAGGAAAATATCTCGCTGCTCAAGTCGGTCATTGTATAGACAAACTTGAGCAACACCTGTACTATATACTGTATGTTCCAGATATAGTCAAATGTTGCTCAAAGTGAGCCTTTGTAATTGATCAAAGCTGGCCATTTTTATTCAACTTTTGCATAGTAGTTGATCTTAGAACAATAAGCTTTCTGCATCCAGTCTTAACAGATTTCAAAAAGCTGCATACTACCAAGCACTGAACACACAGGGTAAATTTATGACTTCAGCATAAGTTTTCAAAGTTCACTAATATCCAGGCACTGTACAAATTATTTATGATTATGTTGAAGTTTCTTTTTTCTTTCTTTTTTAATCTTCTTTGATTACTCAATACAAGTAAGGATTCAGCTTGCCATATTCACTCGGAGTCAAGCTTCTTTGTGTTTCTAATATTAGCAAACTATCCTGTAATAGTCATAAAATTTACATCAAAATACCGGGCAAGATCTCATACAGTTTGATTCAACTTATCAAAAACCCTTGAGCAATTTTCCAAGAATTCATCTTTGAGGCTTCCATCTCCAGCACAAATTCCATCAGATTGAGATTGGGTTTGCTTAATCCATTTTTGAGATGTAAATTCTTAAAATTCAATGATGTTACAAATTGCTTTTACTGTATTATGATCAGAAATATATAGGCAAGTCATGTTTATGGAAAAAACAGCTTTATTTGTAATGCATAGTGTTTCTGATAGTATAATCTGTGGGCTTTTTGTTATTATAAACACTAAGTGATAAATGATACTTGTGTTATACAATGACACTTTCTATTTAAAATTGTGCATACCAAAAATTAATCATTTCATGTTACATCATCATATAATAGAATATATAAAATTATATAATTAAAATATAAAATTTAATTATTAAAATCAGACTTATTTTCAAATTTTTAAGTTTGTTAAACTTACCTTCCATATTATAATATCCTCTAAATGTTCTTCTAACTTTACTATTAGATGTATTAACAGTTATTTTAATTTGTTTTGCTTTAATAAGCACAGAAAATGGAGCTATAAAAAATAATTTGTGATAAATTTCATTATTATTCTTATCATCATATACTTAAATTATAAGCTATAAATATTTAAATTATGATAATGAAATATCAGAATTATTAAAAGTATTTGGAGAAATGTCACATGACTTGAATTTAATTACACACAGAATTCTGGAAAATATTTTTAAAATATTCTCTTATTAATTAATATTTAAGGAAATGAGACTGTTATTAATACCAGTGTTTTTGTAATTTTACCATATTTGCCAATATAGTGTGTAAGTCAATCTCAAGATTTTGTAGCTACAAATAACATACTATTTGTTTAGTGATTAACTAAACATACAGTAAGTTATTTATGGGCTAAAACTGAAATGCGCATACATTATTGGCCAAAAGTAGAGCTACCCTTGACATATGTTTTAAAAATGCGACCTCGACCTCCATCTACTACATAATTAATATTACGATAGTTGAAAAAAAAAGCACAAAAAAAAAAGAGTCAAAATACTCAATTGAATCAAACAGATTTTATTTTGAATCTGATTTATAAAAGAAAAAACAAAGCTTTTATATTTTACACTGTAACAAAAGTAGAGCTACCAAAGGAAGTATACAGATTTGTCCAGTATTTTTAGGACAAAATATTAGTATTTTGTGGCATAACCAGAGCTTCTGATTACTGCATCACATCTATGTTCCATTGAATCAACTAAGTTGTCTGGAGGAATACAATTATCAAATAATATCAAACAAAGAATGGTAGATATGTGATTGAAAGAAAAAAAACTTTTCCTGAAATTGGTAAAATCTTTAATGTGCATAACACTCTTGTCGCGAAAGTGGTGAAGTGTTTTCAAATATATGCGACATTGTTTCTGCCAAAAAGTCAGGTAGACCACGAAAAACACCACAGTTGGATCATTTGATCAGGCATACGAGTTCAGCCAATCCTTATTTGACTGCTTCACATATTAAACGTGAAGTGGGTAACAGATATAAGCTTAAGGATTGTACGAAGATGTTTGACTAGTTTTGAATTACATGGGAGATGATCAGCAAAGAAACCACTCATCTCTGCAAAAAAACTAAAAGTTGAGATTAAAGTTTGCACATGAACACATTACTTGGATTGAATAAAAATGGTTCAAGGTGTTAAGTCTTCTCTAGTGATGGTATACAATATGTCAGACAACCAGTGGACATGAGATATGACCCAAAATACATAGTTCCTATAATAAAGCATGGTGGTGGCTGCATAGTGGTATGGGGATGTTTCTCTGCAAAGGGAATTGGTCCAATTCATAGAATTAATGGAATAATGGATCAAACTGTTTATCGGGACATATTGCAGAATCAAATGCTTCCTTGTGCACGTAGTTCAATGCCAAGGAAATGGATCTTCCAACAGGACAACGACCCAAAACACAAGGCAAATTTGGTAAAGCAATGGTTTTAACAGAAAAGGGTGAATCTTAAGACATGGCCAGCCTCATTGCCAAACCTAAACCCCATAGAGAATCTTTGGGATGAAACTGAATGCCATATAAGCCAGCATACATATTCAAATCCGGATGAATTGTGGTCTACCATTCAAAAAGTATGGTATGAGACTCCCAAATCATTGCTTGACAACTTAGTTAATTCAATGGAACGTAGATGTGATGCAGTAATCAGAAGCTCTGGTTACACCACAAAATACTAATATTTTGTCCTAAAATTACTAGACAAATCTGCAAACTTCCTTTGTTAGCTCTACTTTTGTCACAGTGTGAAATATAAAAACTTCATTTTTTCCTTTTGTATCAATAAATCAGATTCAAAATAAAACCTGTTTGATTCAATTGAGTATTTTGATTCTTTTTTTGTGCTCTTTTCAACTATCACAATATTAATTATGTAGTAGATGGTGAACAAAATAGAGGTTGCATTTTTAAAATATATGTCAATGGTAGCTCTACTTTTGGCCACTACTGTATATATGATAGCATTTGGCAAAAACAAAGTTACTTTCATTGAATCTTTAACAATACAGAAGCTCATATAAAGAGTAATCTACACAACAGGAGCATATAGTTCAACTAAGTAACCATAAAAATCTTCAGTAAATTATTTTGATAAGAGTTCTATTGTTTTATCAAGTTTACCAGTAAATGCATTCATTTCAAAATCAATACTTCCAATAAAATATTAATAGTTTACACATTACAATACTATAGCAGTACTACTACATATAGTATATGATAAAACAACATTGTAGTGATGTACATTTTGTATATCATTAGAAACACTTAGAAACACTATGGTAAATATGGTAGAAACAGCCATTCATACCATATTTTAACTACTATATTATTAATCTCAATATTAAATACATCTGTTAAACATAAATTTTAGTTGAAAACATTTTGGCTCATGCTGTTTTGACTTTTATTTTTTTTAATCATCATTATTTAAATAGCTAATAAAAACTTTGCACTTGCTTTTGTTTGCATATTAATAGTCATTATCAGACTATATGATCAATATATCATCTGCCTAATTTAATTTCTTGTTTGTTTCAACTAATGTTGTTATTTAAATATTTTTGAATTTAATGTTCAACAATCTTGCAACAGAGTTAACCTTTTAAAAAAAAATATAATTGTTGTCGTGGCTTTTATATTAGGTTTTCTTTACTACTTTTTTTAGTGTCAAAACTTTTCATTATTATTTAGTTATAGAAAATTTAAATATAATTAATGCATTATGAACATGATAATTAACCGCTGCGTTAAATATATTCCATGTAATGATATAAATCACACAAATTGTTATCATTAAATTAGAGTTTGTTTATTAAATGTTATTTCTTTCTGCAATTACATCAGTTCTTGCTTTAATAAGCAGATAGACTGGTATAATTGGTATTGAACTTTCTACTACTTTGCAACTGAAGTATGTAACAAAAAGCAGAGTTTTCTATAAAACCTCTAGTGAATTTCTACCTTGTCTTTAAAAGAGCAATTATTTAAATATTCTCCTGTTAATATCTTAATCTCTACTTGGTAATACTCAACTAGTGCGCTACACATATTAAAAAAAAAACTAGTGTGAACAGGTTTCATTTGATCAGTCCTATATTAAATTAAATGCTGTTTTTGTTATCTATCATATTATTTCGTACATGTAAAGAACTAATGTCAAGAAAACATTAGCAGGGGTGCACAACCTGCGGCCCGTGGGCCACATACGGCCCCCTATCAATGTTTATGCGGCCCGCGGACGGTACAGGCCAAATCCCTTCTTTCGAAGTTTCTAAGTGTAGTTATTTTTGTTTGGGGCTTATGTTTTGTTAGGACGAAGGTTTCTTCACCATTCACCTTAGAAACTTAAAAATAGAAGAGAAATCAACTCACCAATGAGAGAAAAGTGCCATAGAAAAAACTCGCGCACACTTGCGCTCCCGAGCAGGAAAAAAAAAGTAAGTCCGCACCGAGAAAAGGGGGAGAGACCCCACAAGCACAACTTAGGGACTCACTAAACCTTAAAGAATAAAAACATCCTGAAAATTGTCGAAAAGAATAATGTAAAAGATTAGCAAGTATTGTCGGAAAATAGGCTGCCAGACAAATAGAAAAAGTTTATTGTTAGCAAATAAGTATGTAAATGAGGGGAGTGATCGCATTCAGAGTTGTGACGTCACCTCACAGTATAAAGTCTGAATCTCATGTGAAGATGGACGAGATGAGTTTCTCATAGCAACGAGCTTGGTGAGCTTCGTAGCAGCAAACAAAAGAGAGGTGTCCGATAGGAAAAAATAGTTCCAAGGCGATTTTGAAGTTATTCAATTTGTGGATCGACAATTAGAGAAAGTCTTGAGAGTTGAGGAGAAAGGTTCCTAGTATATTGAGGTGACGATTAGACCTTTAATTCATAAGAATTATTGTTTATAAGTTAAGTCTTTGAATTTTGTCGAATTCCAAAGGGGAATAGAATTAAGTTAGAAAATAGATTGATTTGAGTTTTGTCGGGTTGATTCTTATTGAGTTTCATTGAATAAATTGTTACTTGATTTTTTACTAAATATTGTATATAGTTTATTATTAGAATTATTTATTAAATATTTGATTTTATTATTGACAAACTTTGTCATTATTTAATTCGGTGCACGCTTAAAGTCCAGGCCTGGCACACTAATGCAAATCCATATAAAGTACCCGTTAGGGAACGGCCATTTCCGGCACATAGTCGTGTCGATAATCGTTGGAAAAGTCAGAAAAATAATATAGTACTTTACAGAGTAGTTCTGAATATTTTAAAATACCAATTTTTATAAATCAGTTGGTAAATCTTGAAAATGAAAGATAACTTGGCATAGTAGAGATAAATGTTAGTATTAAATCAAAAATTAAAGTTTGTAAATATTCTAAAGTTAACTTACCTATATTATCATGAAAATTAAATAAAGGTTTATCATCATCTTCATTAGTAATAGTAAATTTATCTGCTACATCTAAAAGCATATCTTCCATGACAATTAAAATATTAACTGAATCATGTGAAATTATTTTTCCTGTCCAATTAACGCCAGGGTTAACAGAACCATCTGGGTTAACATTAAACACGCCATATGGATCTGTATAATCTGCAATTACATTATTTAATATTTTTATATTGAATGTGTTTCGTTAAAAAGATATTTAATAATTTAAATGCATATTTATTTTTCTATAATTATTCATAATTTAAAAAATTTTAATATTAAAAACTTAAAATAGATAAAAAAGTAAACTTACTGTGATCATTTACATCTATATCAATTTCTCCATTTATAGAAACAGTGAAGGAAAGAAGACAAAGCACTGCAAAAGAAAATTAAACTATTTAAATACTGACAATAATTTATTAAAAACTTATTTATACTGAGTAAGATAACTGCTTAATAATTTTATTATTATAAAGATCTGTATATTTATCTTTCAATTTTTGAAAATTTACATTCCAAAAAAGTATAATTTACAATTGAAACTGATTATAGATCAAAATAGCTTTAAATTAATAATAAATATGATTTTATTACCCAAAGAATTATTTAATATTTAATCAAATTCAAAACATAATTCTAATGCTTTATTTTCAAACTATTCATTATTTAATCATTGATATCACAAAATGTATTTAAACTGTAAAATTTAAAGAATATTCTTCATTGAAATTCAAAGAGATATAAATATATTAATGGCTATAACATGACAGAATAAAAGTTTAAAAAGAATTTCTCGTTTCCTGACACTTTTGATTTGTTTGTTAATACAATTATGTCTAATACTTCCAATAAAATATTAATAGTTTACACTATAGCATTACTGCTACATATAGTATATGATAAAAGAACATTGCGGTGATGTACATTTTGGAAAGACACCAAAAGAACTTATTGTTCTTTGGGTGTCTTTCAAAAATAGTTTATTTAATAACCTTCAAAAATTTTTGTAGCATACTTAGGACCTTCTCATGGCACACCAGTTGAAAATCACTGCCCTACAGTGTCAACTCCTGCCAAGAATTAGATCAGCTATGGTGGGATATCTGTGCCTATTCATAAAACAGACATATTCTTAGTTTGTAAAGAATTCCGAGAAGGGTTATGGGGAAGAGCTAAATGTCTCCCAAGCATGTTTAATGGGATTCAAGTTGATCTCGCTGGCCATTCCAATGATGCATGTTCCCAAGTCTAAGTACTGACAAAAATGCAAGTTCTGTGAACTTGTATGTTATTGTCCAGAAAAATGACACAAAGGCCTCATGGCCCCAACAAATAGCAAACATTGCACAATGATTCTACACCACATTTCAGTCACACTACCATGAGAAAAGATGTGGAGATCAGCGCAGCAACCAACAGCAATCTCTGCCCAAACCATTAAATCACCCCTCTGTATGTGTGCATTTTACAATGTTACTGGTGTGATAGAGAGTTGCAGGCATTATCCAGACCAATAACCATTGGGAATCAGTCTGCAGACCAAACCTTGACTCATCTATGAAGAGTATACCACTCAACTGTTCTGGAGACCAGTTGAGGTGATCTCAAACCCAGTTTAACAGGGCCCATCTGTGTGAAGGTGTCAGTGGGACACAAACTGCCAGTTGCCTTGCATACAATTGGCCTGCACATAGCCATCTGTAAACAGTTTGCCAAGATACAGCTCTTCCTGTCGACAATGAAAGGTCCAAAGCAAGCTGATATGCAGTAAGTGATGCGTAGTGTAATGCTACAGACAGAAAACGGTCATCCTGAGTGGTTCTGACTCTTGGACGTCCACTTACTGATTTTTGTGACACTGTTTCTTCACTTTGATATTAATTTGATATAGTTCCAAGGGGAGCAAATGATGGGATGATTGACATTTAGGTTTTGGACTACTTCAAACCATTGCTGGTCACCTTCGAAATGCCTTATTGCAACAATATAAACAATGATAAAGAATATTTATATTTTACTTGTGTCTTCTGTAAATATTGTAATATTAATGTAATAAAAGTTATACAGTGGAACCTCGCTTAACAAATTGTAAAAAACTGACTTGCTTAACGAGTGATGAAGAGAGGGAAAGTCCCGGATTGTGCACATGCTTCACCAGTCTGTTTAGCACTTGTTCCTCTAGCATCTTAGTGTCGCTTGTGATCAAACATTTTTCCAAACTTATGTTCACACACATTACTTATAAACATCAAGAACCATTGCCCATTATATAATAAACACACCAAACAAAATGCCAAATTCTTGGGCTATGTAAAGGCAATAATTAAATATTAAAAATGAATTAATTTGACTAGAGGTAGGCAGTTATGCTGCCATCTTGTACTAAATTTAATGACCAATTCCAAATTAAATTTTTAAAATGTCTAAATTAAAAATTAATTAATTATTAACACCTCAATGACAGACTTATGAAATAGAATATCAGATTTAATTAACAACTCTAATGAGAGACTAGCTAATCAAATGACTTCTATAAAAACTGATTTACACTCAATACGTGAATTTATTCGAGAACTTAAGAATCAATTTCATAAGGCAGAAGAAAAATATACAAAACATAGAATTACAAATTATGGAATTAAAAATGAAAAATGAACTTGTGCGCTTCAAAATGGATTCTCTAATTAATAATTTTAATCAAAATAATGTAACTATATATAAATATCCTAGTTCGAAAAATATTTTCAGACAAAATATATGGAATTTTATGAAACACACACTGAATCTAGACACTGTACTTTTAGAAGATATCTTAGACATAACTCAACTAATACAAAAAAACTATTATAAAATTATCGCTAAGGAATAATCATATTCGTAATCTTTTTTCCAGTTCTTTCATTAAACGAAAACAAGTAAAATTACTTGGTGAATGGCAAAATATGCAAATTTCAGCTGATCTCGCAAAGTTCTTGAATAAGACAAAATAATCTTCTTCCCTTCTATATTGAAATGAAAAAGCAAAATCATCAGGTAAACTTTGTAACGATATTTTGATATTAGAACAAGACAAGATAACATACTGCTTAAAAACAAAGCAATTACTGAACGAGGAAATTTTTTTTATCAATCCCGTCAATACAGAATTTAACAATTTAAGGTCTAATAAATTGCAAAGAATCATGCCTACAATAAATACCGTGAATAATCAAATGTTAGCAGTGATAAACTGGAATTTCCAGGGATTAAAGAATAAAATTTCATCAAGTGACCCATTTCAGCTTAAACTTGAAGCAGATATCATTGGAATAACAGAAACATGGGTTACCTACAAACAGTTTTATAAATACATTCAAAGATTACTCAATAGAAAATATTCCTGCTAGAACACCAACTGGACCAGACCAGCCTAGTGGAGAAATATGCTTATTACTAAAAAAGAATTTATGTAAAATTCTTCAAATGAAAAAAACTAATAATTTTATAATGTTATCAATCGAAATGACTAAACCTAAATTTACTAATTTAAGAAATTAAATAATGATTGTGGCTGTTGCTTACATTCCACCACATAGGATAGACATACTAAGAGAAGCTTTTAAATCACTTGAACTCTGGCAACATATAACACCATTAATTCTCCTTTTGGAAGATTTTAATTCTCGTATTGCTGAAATAAAAGATTCTTGGTATAATGGTCCTAATAACCTAATTTTAAATACTCAACTTTCAAAAGATAAACATAATAATAAATTGAATGAATAGTATGATAAATATAATAACAGATTTTAAAATATACAAACGCAATGGAAAATCAACCAACTTAATTTATTCTTTAAATCGTTGCACCTATCAATTAATCCCAATAAAACAAAGACAATGATTTTCAAAAATAATAATAAAATCTCAGAAAAAGAAACCAAACTGTATTTAGAAAATTTACCCCTTCAATTAGTCAAAAAGATTAACTCAAAGGTCACTCTTAAATAGTCAAACAAAAGTTTTAAATCACACGTTACAAAATTAAATAGTAAAGTGAAAGCAACAATTGATAATTTATTTCTATGTTCAAGATTAAAAATCTCTAACATAAACCTACACATGAGATTATATAATTCTCTAATAAATTCAATTACATATTATGCAGGATCAATTTGGGGTCTCGATTTCTTATATGTTCTGGAACGCTTCCATATTTACTTTCTTCGAAAACTATATCAACCGGAAAAAACCATGCCTGGATATGCTATTCAACATGATACAAATCAGCTCTGGTTCTTCCCATTCTTTTTAAAATGCATAATAAAATTCTACTATTGAATAAAATTTAAAAGTGACAGAAATGTATCTTTTTTACACCAAGAAATGTTAAAGCAAAGTAAAAGACAGAAAATTAACCAACTATGGCAAACAAAGTTAAACAAAATCCTAAAAACATTCGGTGTAAGTACCCTCTTGTTTAAGAATAATATTCATGATTGGAAATACGGATATTCAGATTCTGCAATATCACAAAGTACAAACAAAGATCAAACTGGTTTATATCAATCAAAGTATCACTCATGGTATACAAAAATACTAAAAATTCCTTCACAACAACCATATATACACTACTCATTGGAAATAAATGTTAAAAGACTAATAATTCAATTACATTTAAATAAAAGCTCATTATTCATAGGAAATAAATATATAAACCTTGTAAATAAAAATTGTTATTTGTGCAACTCAAGTGATTTTTGAATATTACACATACTAAAAGACAGAAGTTTACTCAAATACGAAAGTCGCGTGGAATATCTTACATATATAAACATCACCAAACCCGATATAATAAAGCTACATACCAACAGACTGCCGAAAATCTATCGGGCTAGTATTATGCTAATTATTAAATAAATTACGTAATCAATTTGGCACTAGAGGTAAGCGTTAGGCGCCATCTCTTATTAATATTAATAATTATAAATAAATCTGGCAACACATCTGCAAGGTAAGCAGGAGTTGTGGGTTCGAGTCCCGCTCCGGGCCGATTTTTTCTCCCAGTGGTTCTAAATTATTTAAATTAATTGATTTATTTATAATTATTAATATTAATAAGAGATGGCGCCTAACGCTTACCTCTAGTGCCAAATTAATTACGTAATTTATTTAGTAATTAGCCTTAAAACTAGCCCGATGGATTTACGGCATATGTTTGGTGATTA